AAAAGTAAAGATGTCGAGTTCAATGGATATGGCACTGAACAGAATGGAATGGTAAAGCAGGATTCATATAGTGTAGCAGATTTAATACGGTCGGGAAAAGACTTGGATAGATTTAGATGATTATGATGATAACGACGATAATAATGACAACGACGACGATAATGATGATGATGATGAATATGAAAGAATGAATCATGTTGAATCCATGAAATGACAAAACAAATTAAGGGTACTAAAGTTGATGCTAGAATGAAATACCTAATTTAGGAATAGTGATGATGTTGAAACTAATAGAAATGACCTATCAAACAAGGGTGCTAATTAAAGTTGTGGCACCACGGAGGAGTCTCAACCAATTGACATGTTAAAACGTGCTAATGACTGGGAGGACCAGAGAAGTTGTCTTTGTGTGCCTTAATCAATCAATGATGTATCAAGCTCCAGAAGACCCTTAATCTAAGTAACTTCTTCTATGGATGACGATAATCAGGTCGTCTCCTGACTCTGATGTTAACGAAAGTGACAATTTCTTAATTTTTTTTTTCTTTTTGTGGCCGAAGTGGAATCTGACACATTGACACACAACGATTTGACTAAATAAAATCTGATAAAGTTGGCGACACAGGAGCCATGGCTGCCGATGATAAGCTGCTTTTTGATAGAAAATTAAGATCTTGTTTTCTGGTTATATTAATGGATATAATATATTGCTGTGAGAATCCAAATTGGATACATGGTCTGCCAGCTGCTGATGATAAGTCGAGCATCAGCTGAATACGAGCAGCTGCTTTTCAGTGTTCCACTTGGTAGCTAGAGTGTTTGATTTAATGTCTCACCTACTTGTTTGAAATTTATTCCTACCCACATGAGAAGACAGATTAAAATATGGAACCTGTAAGTGTAGGACCTCATGTTAATGTAAGACAAGAGAAGCATGACTTAACTCTATCGATTTCAGGACCCATGGTGTCTGAGCTCTGAACCTGTAAACATCCGGCAACTAATTCCCTTTAGCCGCCGGTCGTGAGAACTGAGGAAGGTTTTTAGCGACATAGGCATGCAGTCAAATTAGTCTGCTTCTTACTTGGTGTCAGACTCAGAAAGAAAAGAATCAGCTACCCTCTCATGTACATCAACCAAATTGCAGACCAGATAACGATGGCATCAACTAGTGATGGGTCAATTTTCAATATCTCCGACGAATATTTCCTTTCTTCTCTCTTCCAGCAACAAAGAGTTCCCAGGGTTCCAAGTGCTCAACTCCATTCCAAAGTCATACAGAATAGAATTTCATTTTGATTTATATTCAGTCTGCCATGCTTTTATCATCATCGTCATCCTTAATTGCAATATATAATAAATGGGGCCGGACCGATAGAATTAATTCCTTTCAGCCAGCCACCATCTCATAACTCATTCTTAGAGAGAGAGAGAGAAGCCCCAGCCCAGATAAGAAAGTTTCTATAAATCCAGTCTGCCGACCGACTGTAGTCCCATCACTTGCTGTTCTTTATAAAGGTAAGTTTGGAACATTTTTCGAGTTGGGATTTCCTGTCAATAAAACCCGTTCCAACATCCTACCAACTTGATCTAACACCACACATCTCACTATAAAACTGGGGCATATATATATTTTGTTGGTAGGTGATCCGAATTCCATTTGATCTCTGATTGCCCGCCAATGCAAGTATCATTAGGGTTTATGTAGCATCTAAAGAGCAAACGTCCTCATGATATGTGGGGATTGGCACCTAAGGGGGTATTTCATGGTGTAGATGAGAAATTGGGTGGTGTGGAGCGGTCCACACCACTCATTATGGACAAACTTCTATACAATAAATCATAAATGTTTAATTTTTGCATTTTATATGATAAATAAATTGAAAAAGGCATCGATAACTTAATATTAACCAATAGATATTAATTTTAATAAAAAATATAACAAAATAATTAAAAAATAAAAAAAAATATTATTTTATTGATAAAAACATTAAAAACTCAATATTTGAAAAAAAGAGTGGAGGGAGCACTATTGGGCTTATGCTAGAATTAATATTAAAATTATTTTATTGATATAATATTAAAAAATTAACATTAAAATTTTATTATTTTAACATTTAAAAATTAAAAATAAAAAAATATATATAAAAGAGATGTATTGTATCAAAATAATTAGAATGTGAAAATGTTATTAACCGACAACATCCATGAGATATATGTGTTTCCAAGATTTTGTCTTATGGATGGGGACAGTCCACGATATGTTGTGGACCACTCCCGTCTACAACCAACCGAACATCATAATCATCCTATGGCATAGACCGAAATGGCGGGCCATCCACGAGATGACCACAGTTACAAACACCACTAAGTCTATATGTATAAGGAGTGTATGTAGAGTATGTAGTTAGTGGTTTATCCCCAGAATTTAGTGGCAAGACTAAATCATTAAGCCATTAAATTAGGAGCTCACAACCTACTTATTGATTTGATCACTGAAATTAAGACAAACCAACAAGTTATTCATCGTTGTAACTTGAGCTATTATCAAACAATGCATTAATAAATATAGGTATGGTCATTGGATGCTTATACTGATCATTCTAACAGCTGTTATATTTTAACAGTAATTTCTTGTTGTTTTTAGCTTTTTAAGGGGAATATTGATTTGGGCACGTCCGATTTGTTGATCAGCTGAACACGTACGTCCAAAGTGGAAAGACGAAGAATAAGAAGTATTCCTCTGAGTTCATTAAAAAAAATGTTATACAAGAGTACTTTGTCTATTGAAACATGTATTTGGACTTATTAGTGGTGTGCCCCCTTCATATAAAAAATGGATGTGCCCGCATGTTCTTTTTCTGGAAAAAGCTGCATAATACTTTAATAATAGTCTATATTACTGAATACCAAGGTGAAAAGCATTTTAGGTTTTGCTGATTTTCTCTTTGTTATATATTACTAAGGAGAGAGCTACCTAGCTAGTGGGCAATTAATTACTTTCCTCCATAAACAAAACTGGCAGCCTAATTAGCAATTAACCAGGCATCTTCCTGTACAGAGAGAATATATGGAGGTATTTATCCCATGCATTAAGGTTTTGGCAAATTCAAAAGATCAAAAGTCGATCTTTTTTCTGTTTGGTAATCAAAATCTGGAAAGATGAGAAGACATGTGTGGAAAGACCCAAAAAGATTAAAAATGTCCAATTTTGAGAAGCTTCAAATGAAATTTTGTTGTCTTTAAAAGTCTAATAAACCAAGTCGCTTATCAAATGGTCTTTGTCTTTAAAGGCAGGACCCCAAAAGCTTAATACGTCCTTTGGTCATCTGAGCTGTTGGAAGATCTTTTTAAAAGGACTTGCCGAACAACACCTAGGTAATCTTTAAATTAAGAACCCATTTGGGCACTTGAATCAGTTATGATTTTAGTTTTTTTCTCCAATACTGATTAGGACTAGATTATCACATATTAAGAAGAGATTAGAAGACTAAACACTGGGGTAGTGGCATCCAACTAGGGTATCTAAAAGTACAATCAACTCTATCCTTTGCATAATGTTGTTCTAGACGAATGGAAGATATGCTTCATTGCTTTGTTTGTCCTCAATACTGTTCAGAGAGAACATTCGAAAAAAAAAAAAAAACAAAAAAACAAAAAAGAAAGAAAAACTATTTCAGGAAGGATACTGCAATAAATGGTGTAATTAATAAAACCAGACAGGAAGCATAATCCTGGTTCAATTTGCTTCCTTGTTGATGTTTTAGGTATCTTATTATGTGAGGTCATTGATGCAATTCTTAACAGTGTCAAGATCTAGTTCAGGCAACTCTAGAAAATGATGTCTCCAAGTTTAGATCAATTGCTATTACATCTGAAAACTGATGGACTCTCCTATTAGCTAGATATTAAAGAAAATGTAGACAATATATATATATATATACCTTCTAAAAGACGCTAGGAATATATCTAAGTGTTGGAAAAAAAAGTGAAATGGCATACTAGCTTGCACGAGTGGGAGATGTCTTAGCAACTTGAAGCACAGAAAGTTTGAAAATTAAAGCTGATCAAAAGAAATGTGATGCATTTGCTCTATTAGAAACTCCAACCATTAAATTTAAAGAAGGATCTAGAAAATCCATTTTTTCAGAGAGATAGTGTAACAGTGGAATCCTGTGGTACGAAATACTTGAGGAAAAGATAAAGGTAAAAAGATGCAAAATTAAAAATAATTAATTTTATAATTATTCCCTAGGATAACTTCCCCTTTAACTACCACTCTAGCTCTTTCCAAATTATATAAATAAGTTATATCTTATTATACTTTTCTTTTATTATTATTATTATTATTATTATTATTATTATTATTATTATTATTATTATTATTAAATAAACTGAAAAGGTAAAGTCATGGTATATATTAATTATTAGTAATTATGGACAAAGGTTCAAAGTATTCATACAATACAATGATACATACGTGTGATATGCAAAAATTGCATATATATTGTACAATTTAAAGTGGGAAAAGGTATTAACCATTGAATATGACCACTTGTCCTAAATTCTTGTATGAAAGTTACTAAAAATTAATATGTATCGACCGATACGCATCGATATATTGGCGATATGATAGAGCTTGACTAGGGATTGAGCTTGTCATTCATGAGTTTATTTATCATTTATGAGTCAAAAGACTTGACAGTGAGAAATACAGAGTTGTCTAATTAAATCCGTCTATATCTAACCAACCCAATGAGAGACAATGTGATATTTGAAAGTGACCCCATCTTAGCTTTCATCCATATATACAACAAAAACCCCACGTTCCTTCCCCCTCCACTCCCAAAAAACATCATCTAATATATAATTTTGGATAAATTGGCCATGTGGATCTTCTTTCTTCCTTGTCAGATCTACACCGTCCACTCAACCCCCTCAGCCTCTATATATACACCCAGATCACCTCTCTTCTTTCTCAAACTTGTTCTCTTCTCCCGCTCACCACCTCCACCCACCCCCTCTCCCTCTCTCAGATTTGCTTAGAATCTCAAAATATACAGTTTCTCCCTGAGGTCATCAATGACTTGCTTTAAGGCCTCCAAGAAGGTTAGCTACTTAGCCATGGCTGATATGATTCTATCTTCTTCTTTCTACTATAAAAAACCAGTCATACCTTCTGCGTTTCTTTAGCTCTCCTTCTCCTCACTGTGTTTTCTGTATATTGTTTATTGGGTCAAGCTTTTCATTAATGGGAGGTGACAAGCTTGTGTCTTTGATTTATTTTCTTAAAAGTTCATGAACTGATCAATCTGGTTGATGCACGCATTACTTTACATTCTGGAGACATGCAATGCAGTTAGTATGCTCATCAGTTCCTAATATTAATTCTTACTCAAACAAAATATTGCAGGCTAAGATCAATGAACTGGTAGAGGTAGAGGATAGAGAGATGAAAGCAGGAAAAGAAGATTACACTCTTGACGGAACTGTGGATCTACACGGCCGACCTGCAATCCGAGCAAGAACAGGACGATGGGCTGCAGGAATCCTCTTACTCGGTACTATTCCGAACTGAAGAGAATAATTTAATAACAAGATCAATATATTAAATGTCTTCTTTTCAGTTTCTTTATCATTTCTATTGCTTAAAAAAATTTTTTTTTCCTCGTAAGTAGCTTTCCTAAACCAATCTTTTTAAGATATTTCACTAATAGTTCTTTAAAGGGAAAAAAGTCTGGTTCACCTTCTTCCCCCAAAAGAAGTCCACAGTGCATGATGAACATGTTCTCATTTCTTTCTCTCTCTTCTGTGCTTTTAATTTGCATAAAATAGCAGCTTCTTCCATCCTTCATGTACTCTGTATTGCTATATCTGAGAAAGAGACAACAGAAATGAAGGGATTGTTTGGTAAATCAAATGTGTTGCTCTGCTACTTCGTGCTTCTGGGCCTACGCCACGAGAGAGAGACGGAGAGATTCAACAAATTAAGCTTATAATTTGGTCGTTAATGTATGGGTCACCTGTATCGTGACCCATCAACCACAAGAGATATATGATTCAACCTACTTTACATCATATCAGACCACCTTTTTTGCACTAGACATCAAAAGGGACGGTGGTGATGGAATCACATGGATGTCACATGATGGAAACATTCAAGGGAGAGAGGGGAGGGGGGTAAGACAACAAACACATCAAGATGGGTCCCATTAAAAGTTGTCATAGGTTTGATTGAAAACGATCGACCTGCAGATTGAAGGATTCCTACCATTAGATTATCCGCAATAGGCCCCACCTGAAGGATAACTCCTAAGGGAACTCGTCTATCTAGGCTTTCGTGGAACACAGACTGGGTCCTGTTGCATGGACCCACAGAATTGTCTGGAACGCCTAATTTCATGCATGCCTTGCATTGAAAAGCTCACCACACCAAATATTTAACTTAGGGCCCGTTTGAGAGGGCTACCAAAATTAGTTTTACTGGAAGTTTATTAATTTCTCCCCTCAAAAGCTCTTTTTCGGTTTATTATTACATATAGCTTGACAGCTTTCCATGTGAAATCTACCAAACCGCTTCACGAAAGCCCTCCCAAACAGGCACTTAAGATTACGTAAAGTAGGAAAATTCTGTAAAATTTTTAGACATCAGTTGCATAAATATCTGGACTCCGGAGAGCTCCCAAATATTAATTCATAAAAATCATATGGTTAAAAGTCATACCCAATGGATGGTCTTGATCTTTCGATCATCCATCCAAACACGATGCAAGAGCTCACAGGCTCTTATTCACTCAGGAAACCCTATTTTAATACATATTGACCAAAATGCCCATATAGACTAAGAGCTCACTGTAGCCCATATGCATATCAACCACCTACAATGAATAAAGCCTTCTTCTATATATGCATCTATATCTTATTATTCGTCCACCCATGTTTGATTCATCAAAAATGGAATCAACCTTCTGAGTTGACTGCAGCTCCAACCTGCTTCCTAGGTCTTTGATTCTACATGCTGCTCTATAATTCTTGAACCAGAGAGAGTTTTCCTTTAACACTAAAGACTAACGAATTAAGTTTCTGAATATCTATCTGTTTGACGATCTGCAACAGTGAATCAAGGGCTGGCTACACTGGCTTTCTTCGGAGTTGGGGTGAACTTGGTGTTGTTCTTGACCAGAGTGTTGCAACAGGACAACGCAGATGCAGCAAACAACGTTAGCAAATGGACTGGAACCGTTTACATCTTCTCTCTCGTGGGTGCATTCCTTAGTGACTCCTACTGGGGAAGATATAAGACCTGTGCCATCTTCCAACTTATCTTTGTCATAGTAAGTAAAACCATTAAGAGCTGGTTTCTTTTTCACTAAAGAGATTGACAAAGACAAATGATGATTGAGTTGAATGCAAGGCAACTCATGACTCAGTTCAGCCGACTCATTTCTTTGGCTTAGTTGATCTTACAGGAGGAAGGAAAAGGAAAGAAATAAAAGAAGAAGAAGACCTCTCTGTTTTCCCAAGCCTTTTTACTTGACCCTGGTTCAAACTGGACCTGTAGAGACTTGGCTGAATCATCTATATTAATAGTTTTTCTTAAAGATCAAAAGAGAAAAAAAAAATCAAGGACCGACTTAGCAACCTGGTTGCAACACTTGAGTTGATCTGTTAATTATACAACTCAGATCAATTAGCAGAGAAAGTACCCATGCTTTTGCTCTAAGTGTCTCTGTTAATCACTTGGCTATCAAGTTCATCATGTCCGACGTTATTCAATTTCAAGTCGGCTCAGAACAAGCAAACTCGTCAACTAGCTAGTTGATTGTTTACATATATCATGATTCATGAGTTGCCTTGGAACTTACAGGTCTATATACAGTTATATTCATACTGTCAGTCTCTCTAGTGGGTACTGTCTAATTAAAGCTAGAAATAAAGTTTCATCACCTCCTTTATTATGAAGTTTTAGAACACCAACTGATTGCTTATTTGTTTATCTACTACGAAATTGCTCACAAATTAGTTTATCTTGATAACTAGTTGTTAAAGTGACTGTTTTCTGATGACAGGGCTTGGCATCATTATCATTGTCATCATATCTCTTCTTGGTAAAGCCAAGTGGTTGTGGAAATGAGCAGAAGCCATGTGGATCCCACTCCAACTTCCAAATTGGCTTATTTTATCTATCCATCTACCTGATTGCTCTAGGAAATGGAGGGTATCAACCTAATATTGCCACCTTTGGGGCAGATCAATTTGATGAAGGAGATCCCAAGGAAGGACACTCTAAGGTTGCATTCTTTAGTTATTTCTACTTGGCCTTGAACCTTGGCTCCCTTTTCTCAAATACCATACTGGGGTATTTTGAGGATGAAGGAATGTGGGCCTTGGGGTTTTGGGCTTCAACTGGCTCTGCCTTTGTAGCTCTAGTCTTGTTTCTGGTTGGGACCCCAGGGTATAGGCACTTCAAGCCAAGTGGAAACCCTCTCTCTAGGTTCTGCCATGTGGTTGTTGCAGCAACAAAGAAATTGAGGGCTGAGTTTCCACCAAGTGGAGATAATCTATATGAAGTAGATGGGAAGGAATGTGCAATCACTGGGGGTAGAAAGATACTCCATACTGAAGGATTCAGGTAACTTGACAGATATTATTATTTTATATGGTTTTTCTTTTGATAGCAGGACTTTGGCATCTTAAATCTGTAGACCATATTAACTAATATTTCTCTAATTCATGGGGCACCAGATTTTTGGACAGAGCAGCAATTATTACATCAAAGGATACTACCCCACATAACAAAGGCTGTCACAGTCCATGGAATCTATGCACAATAACTCAAGTTGAAGAAGTGAAATGCATACTGAGACTTCTCCCCATTTGGCTATGCACAATACTCTACTCAGTGGTCTTCACTCAAATGGCTTCTCTCTTTGTCGAACAAGGCGCAGCTATGAAGACTACCATTTCAAATTTCCGGATCCCTCCCGCAAGCATGTCTAGCTTTGACATTTTAAGTGTTGCAGCTTTCATATTCATTTACAGGCGAATTCTTGATCCATTTGTTAGCACACTAAAAAAGGCTTCTGGTAAAGGGCTTACAGAGCTGCAGAGGATGGGTGTTGGGCTAATTATAGCAATAATTGCAATGGTTTCTGCAGGAATTGTGGAGTGTTATAGGCTAAAGTATGCAAAGCAAGATTGCAAACACTGTGAAGGCTCAAGTTCTTTGAGCATCTTCTGGCAAATCCCCCAGTATGTGCTTATAGGAGCCTCTGAGGTGTTCATGTATGTGGGCCAATTAGAGTTCTTCAATGGGCAGGCACCTGATGGATTGAAAAGTTTTGGCAGTGCACTCTGTATGACATCTATTTCACTTGGGAACTATGTGAGTAGCTTACTTGTGACCATGGTCATGAAGATCTCTACTGAAGATAATATGCCAGGATGGATTCCAGGAAATCTTAACAAGGGTCATCTAGACAGGTTTTACTTCCTCTTAGCAGTTTTGACCACTCTGGACTTTCTTGTATATGTGGCATGTGCTAAGTGGTACAAGTATATGAAGCTGGAGGATAAGTGTGTTAATATGGGTGATGAAGATGAGAATGACCAAATCTGGAGTGTCTAGTTTCAAGGATTTCAAATATTATTTCACTGTCAAAGACAAATTACTTGACTGATTAAATAAAAGGGAGTTGGAGACCTTGTACTTAATTTTAGGAACTGTAATTACCCAAAAAAAAAACACGTTCACTCGGCTACTTGTACACACATTTTCACCCCAACCCTACTTAGCCCAAGCAATCTAATTGAGAATAAAGATGACCTCGGTGGCTAAAGTGATTAGGAATGGGAGATATGAGCAGCAGTGATTAAGGTTCTTCTGTTTTCCTCCCCATTGTACACATGTTTCCCTTGCTAAGCCTAATGGGTATATGTTTGTGTGGATTTTTAATGTAAAAGAGTTCAAATGTATGTAGAGCAGCTTAATTTGTCAACATTAATGTCCCATTGTAAATTGCTACTTCTAAAACTACAGCTCCAAAGCATGGAAATGACCCCCAACCCATGAAAATAATGATCTTTCTTTCATAGTCTTCTTCCCCCTAACAATTTCAAGTAGCATGTCAATACCAAGAATTAAAGATTATTCCTTAACAATGAACTCTAATTTTCATTCTCAAGATTCATGGATAGAAAAGGATTACTCAAATTTAACACTCTTTCCAAGGTCAAGCTCTTTTGATGAGGAGAGCCCTTGGGACATGCTCAAGAAGATTAAATGTATGCTGTGAATCATGTATTTCAATGGATATAATTGCAATAGTTTAGACCCTTTCCATCATGCACACCCATCTTTCTGGGGTTAACCAATTCTAGTGATTTGATAACCCGAGTCATTCTCTTGGGATGGTACTAGTTGACTGATCTATCTCACCAACTGAAATCAATCCGCCTATAAGATTTTGAAGCATTGAGATAGAAATTTTGAAACATCAAACTTATGCATATTTCTTCAAGTTTCATGGGGTTGATCAGAAATCGGACTCGAGTTCAATGGCGCAACCTCTGACGAAGTGGGGACACAAGGTGAATGACAGACGAAGTCCACCATCTCACTAAGGTCGGCACTAATGTCCCCGAGCTTCTCATGGGGAATGTGTGGGACTCACCCCTCAAACCTTGCACTCTCTAGCTCCCAAACTTGCTCACTTGCTTTTCACCTCATACAATTATATATGACCAACTCGGCCTAGTCAATCACCACTTTCTCTTTACTAACTTGAGCGTTGAAGTGCACTTCTCCAAAGAATTACCTTGGGGTTTCTGACTTCTAAACCATCATAGTTCATTCAATTTAGAAACAAATCATCTGCTATTTGTCGAAAAGTATCAGATTGGTGTCGTGGATAGGAAACATGGAAAAAAGTCTCTAGATCCACATGCCCAACCTCCTCTAGTGACAATGCCTCCAGTGAACTACTCCACTAGCCACTCCGACCACTCTAGAAACAACTCCACAAAGGGCTTTCACACTAGCAACAATGCATCCCCACCCTGTGAACCGGCAAATGAACCAGACACTTAAAGTAGTTCCACCCACTCTAACATTGGGTCAAAGACCTCCTTGCCACCCTCTACACTAGAGAACTTGATGAGAGGTGATTTGGCCCAACCTAGTAAGTAAAGGACACGTGGATATGACCTGCCAGTGGGATGACAACTCAACAAGGAGAGCCTTGTCAGAAGTTTGGGAGCCAAGGTCTTCGGACACCTCGACACCAAGGTCACTTCGGTCCGAAGTGACACGCAATCGACTCTAGAAACTTCTCAATGGATTCCGAATCTCCCAGGATCATGCCGTATAACGGCAGGTCTTATCCTCTCCCTGCCCGAATCGGGTGGTAACGATAGACTTCATTGACTGATACGTTACTCTCCTTCTAAAGCGGAACGGATCCCATCCATATGGGTCGAGAATCCCGGAGCTGTTTTGTGAGACCCACGACAGCTCAACTATATAAGGACATCAACCCCCCTGGACCCAGGTACGCATGATTAAGTGCATTCTAGCTCTCCTACTTCTCAAACTCTCAGCTCGCATATTACTATTACTGACTTAAGCATCGGAGTGACCCCACCAGGTTAGCCACCCTGGGTTCTTTAATTCCTCATTTTCTTTGCAGTTTAAGAGACCTACTTGGTGACAAACGTCCGAGATGCCCTACAGATAGGAGCATCTAGATTACGCACCATCAATTGGCGTTGTCTGTGGGATACGATCAAAAGGTCATTTCAATCCCAGTCTCAACCTCAACCTCAGTTTCACTCTCAATGGCATCTTCTAGCAATACCGGAAAGGGTTTCGACATGAGCGTCACCGGGGGCCAAGAACAACATACAACCATCCCCCAAGGTTCCTCGGTGACCATCGGTCAGTTCACTATCCCCCTGACAGCTTCGGGGGTCCCATCACTATCTGTGTCACAGACCACCCAACAAGTGAATGTCCTGTTCTCCCAAGTGAACACCACATTCTCAAAGCCTTATGTGATCCCCCCTAGGGTCGGGCATTCACAATTCAACGACCTCGTTCAGAGCATCTGGACGATGCAAATCCAGATGCAACAGATTCACCTGTTCTAGTAGTTCCAACAATATTATTTCTAACAGCAGTACCAGCAGCAGTTCCCACCGCTGCAGCCGAACCAACCAATAGGTCAATATCAAGGAAAGATTCAGAACCAAAATCAGCAACGGACCCATCCGAGCGTCCGTTAGTCTCCCCCCAGGGCGAGAGAACCTCACAGGTATTGGTCCCTCCCAGGGGACGAACCCCACCTCGGGGCAAAGTAGGTGAACGGCGTACTCCCCCAGCCTCTCAAAGGACAAGTCCGAGCTAAGCCAACCCAAGAGGAATAGTCGGCAACTTCCGAAGCAGGAGAACGTAGATCATCATCTCGGGGCCTGAGGTGCGGGCTCAAGAGGAGACCCCTTGGCACCCCGTGACAGCCAACACTGGTCTCGCGATGAAGAAGAAGTGGTGAGAAGGACCCCCGATCCACCTCGCCCAGTCATTTGGAGCAAAATTGAAATACCTGACAACACCGGAGCTGGCAGCACAAATGCCAGGCCAGCAAAGCAGTAGTGGCAACGTCGTAAGACTCGCCGTTCCTCAGCCAAGAACTGCTCGCCAACAAAGCCCAACCAAACGATACATCGAAGTAGAGAAAGAGAAGAGATAAGCTTGGTGGACACAAGAATGGCACCTGCTTTGTTGAGCCAGCCATCCCCCCCATCACCCGAGCTCCTAACGTCCCCGATGCCGAAGGATTTCAAAGTACCACCATTGGACAAGTATGACGGGTCTTTTGACCCATCCCAGATGCATCTTGCTGGTGCCGATGAAGCTTGTATGTGCATGGGTTTCTCCACTACATTCAGGGGTGTAGTTCAAACCTGGTATAGGAACCTCACACTGGGCTCTGTCAAAAGCTGGGTGTAGTTCACAAACATGTTCACAGCTCACTTCATTACTAGTAAGAAGTGCCCAAAGTCATAGGAGAGTCTTCTGAATGTGGTGTAGAGGGACGGAGAATCAATTCGAAGCTATATCAAGCACTTCAATGAGACCTGTTTGCAGATACCGAACCTTGATCCAGTAGTATGCCTTTTTGCTGCCCATAAGGGAATTACCCACAAGGAATTCAAGTGGTATGTCATAGCAAACAAGCCAAAGAACATCACCGAGTTCCTTAGGCTGGCCGATCAATTCATAAACACTGAAGAAGAGATCAATCAGAAGACGAAAAACCAACAAGGTGAAAAGAGGAAGAGAGAAGAAGAAGGAACGAGCAACAATAAGCAAAAAAGAAAAAAGAGCAAGTCCCCGAGGAAAAGAAGCAAATCGCCGTGCTTAAGGAGAAAGTCCCCCTCCCAAAGCTACAGGCCGGGTTGGCGTTCCAAGACCCCTCCTGTAGAGAGAACCAACTACACTCCCCTTAACTCGAAGCGATGAGAGATCTTAATGGCCATCAAGGACTCCTCCATTGTCAGATGGCAACCCAGGCTACGGGGAGACCCAGCGACCAAGAACCCAAATGTTTATGCCACTTTCATCGGGACCATGGTCACAGCACGGAGAATTGTAGAAACCTCCACGACGAGATCGAGGAACTCATCCGCCGCGGATATTTGAAAAACTATACTCTGCGTGAGGAGAAAGGGCAGGGGACCAACAGGGAGATCGGAAGAAAGATGCCCCAGAGACTAGCAAACAGAATGAATAGCCACCTCGGCCGCTACCAAAAGAAAGACCGATCCACGGGGTGATCAACATGATCATTGAGGACGATGCTCGTGGGATTCAGTACCCTAATGATGATGCCCTTGTCGTAAAGCTCATCATCAACGATTTTGAAGTGAAGCGGATCTTGGTGGACTCAGGTAGTTCGGTTGACATCCTCTTCAAAGGGACTTTCGACAAGTTACAACTATAGCAAACCGACTTGAAACCGGCGAATACCCCACAATAGGGTTCAACAGAGAAGAAGTCAGGCCTATCGGTCGGATCACGGTACCGGTGGAGGCGGGCATGTGGCTGAACATCGTGCGATTCGAACATACCTTCCTTGTGGTTGTGACTCTGTCCCCCTACAACGCAATCAAAGGTCGGCCCATCATGCACGCTTTACGTGCAATAGTATCAACCTACTATCTAGCGATGAAGTTTCCAACAGATTACGAAGTAGGGGTCATACAAGGCGATCAACTCGAGTCTTGTAAGTGCTAAGTGGCTACCGTCAAGGGAAAAGCAAAATTGGCGAAAAACGTCGAACTGGAGCAACCAACGGACTGTACCGAGGAGCGAGCTGCCCCAATGGAGGAGATAGTCCACATACCGGTCTCCGAGACCGAGCCGACCAAGACTCTCCAGATCGGTGCCCTGATAAGCGAACCGCTCCGAACACAACTAGTAAGTTTCTTACTTAATAATTTAGATGTTTTCACCTGGCCCGTGGCAGAAATGCCCGGAATCGACCCTTGCGTGACAACTCACAAATTAAATGTGGACACTTTAGTCAGGCTAGTTAGACAAAGAAAACACAATCTCGCCCCGGAGCGGTGGAAGGAAGTAGATGTGGAGGTCGGGAAGCTGCTCACCACAAACTTCATCAGGGAGGTCCAATACCTGAGTTGGGTCGCCAACCCCGTGCTGGTGAAGAAGGCCAACGGCAAATGGCACATGTGCATCGACTACACTGACCTGAACAGAGCCTACCCAAAGAGTTGCTTCCCCTACCCAGAATAGACCGTCTGGTAGACGCGATCTCAGGGCATGAGTTGCTAAGTTTCATGGACGCCAACACCGGCTACAACCAGATTATGATGGACTTAGCTGACCCGGTTAAGACTGCTTTTGTAACCAAACTTGGGTTGTACTGTTATAAAGTC